ACTTAATTATATGATGTTCACAATAACTAATTTAATTAACTAATGTGTTAAATAGTACTATTAATGATAGGTCAATTTTTTTACGTCACAACCTGTTCAATCTAGTATACACAATATTAATGATTCTTTATACCATTAGACAACAATACTAATATCCTCCTAAGCCAAGAGTCTACAAGCAACAAAATTTTAAAAATTAGTTATTTATATAAATTTTTAATTACTCCTATGTTTTGATATAAAAACTTTCAGGTGGACAAAGATTTATTTAGTAGAATAAACAATATTTATTTTCAATAACTATAAATCAATATATAAATTATATATATTTATATATTTTATATTGTATAAAAAAAATTATTTATTAATATCTTGATAAATGGTAACATTTTATGCATCAATAAATGTAATAACATTTCATATTAATAAAAATCTGAAATTGATTTGCCTTTTTTAAGGAATATTAAGATAAATATGTGTATATTGAAATATCACAGAGTAAACATATTAATAAACTTTTATAAATACTAAATATATACAGGATGTTATTATAATCCCGCTTGGGGTATCCTTCATAGGATAACGGGTGTGACAATCCCGCGGACCTCAGTCAGGTGGTGCAACCCGAAAGATCCTTAGGATCGTCTCAGGTAAGTAGGTGTACACTAAGATCGTGACACTGAAGCACCACCACCACCACCCAGTTGGGCCCTCCATTAATTGGGGTTGACATTGGGCCAACCACCCAACTTGTAAAACCAAAACAGGTTCCGAAACAAAACAAACCTCAGCCTCGGATAAACAGTAATAAATTGGAAAAGTTGAGTTTAGGAACTTGGAACGTGCACACGTTATATGCAACAGGCGCTTTGACGACAGTTGTTTCAGCAATAGAAACGTACAGATTAGATATAGTGGCCATTCAAGAACTGAGATGGACAGGATCGGGAAGTATAAGGTCAAATAACCATACAGTGTTTTACAGTTGTGGCGTAAATCACGAAGCTGGAGTAGGCTTCATAATCAAGAATGATATACTCCCATATGTTAAAAATTTTTATAGCGTATAATGACAGACTGTGCTACATACAAGTCGAATGTAAATGATTAAACATGACATTAGTAAACGGCTATGCGCCAACAGAGGAAAAAGGAAATCAAATTAAGGAAAAATTCTATAGCGAGCTAGAGACCATATATGAATGCATACCGAAAATAATAATGGGAGACTTTAATGCAAAAATCGGGAAAAAGAGAGTTTTTGAACCTACAATCGGCCAAGAAAGCCTGTATCAAGTATCCAATGACAACAGAATAAGACATTTGCAGGATCTAAGAATATGCGGATCAGTAGTACCTTTTTCCCACATAAGAGAATACACAAACAGACATGGATGTCACCAAAAGGAACCACAAATAACCAGATTGACCATGTAGCAACAGATAACATAATAAAACATTGGATCCAGGATGTAAAAAGTCACAGAGGGGTAGGAGCCCACTCAGATCACTTCCTAGTTAAAATGATACTCCGATTAAAACCACCAAGACAATAGACGCGGAAGCCTAGAGATAAAACAAAATTGAACGTAGAAAACATGAAGAAGGAGAGTATAGTAAGTAAATACAAACAAACAATGATGGCTAAGCTAAACACCATAGAACAGTCACAAGACATTCAAAAGAAATGGGAAAACTAAGAACCATTATTAAAACAACAGCGGAAGAAACAATTGGAGTAGAGACCAGGAGAAGACAGAATAAATGGTTCAATGATAACTACAAGAAGGCGATAGAAGACAGAGACAAAGCAAGACTCGAAGTATTGAGATCTAATACAGAAGAAAAAAGGCAAATACTAGCACAAAAAGAGAGAGCATGCAAACAGGTAATAAGAAGGGAAAAAAGAATCTGGGAAAAACAAANGATATTGATATTAACTACTATCATAACATGAAACTAAAAAGTGAAAAATAAATATAGTTTAAAAAAACTAAAAAACACGCTTTTAAAGCACATCGAACTAAAAAGTTAAAAATAATTTTTAAAATTAACTTAAAACAATAATGAACGAAAAATACTATTATTATTGTGAAAAAAAGGGTCGGGCGCTCAATATACAAAAAATATGGCACAAAGCACCCACGCTTTTTTTCACAATAATACTAGTATTTTTCGTTCATTATTGTTTTAAGTTAATTTTAAAAATTATTTTTAACTTTTTAGTTCGATGTGCTTTAAAAGCGTGTTTTTTAGTTTTTTTAAACTATATTTATTTTTCACTTTTTAGTTTCATGTTATGATAATAGTTAATATCAATATCATGGTTGTAACGGGTAACGGGAAATCAGGGTTCGATTCCGGAGAGGGAGTCTAAGAAATGGCTACCACATCCAAGGAAAGCAGCAGGCGCGCAATGTGGAGGTAGTGACGAAAAATGACAATACGGGAATCATCCTCCGTAATCGGAATGAATACACTACTTATCTAATAATGAGAATAAAGCGTATTAATATATAAGTTTTAATAGTAATTAGAATATATATATATATATATATATATACATGTAAAGCGACTTAAGTACGTAAACGTATCACGCACGAGGTATAGCCGTGTTTTGTGGGCGGGGGGAACATTATACACGAGGCATATACGGCGGCAGCGGCGTCGGCTGTAGGAATTAATAAATGAATATTAACATATGAATATATAATAATATGACCGGTGGCGGTGGGAATATATGATCATCGCATAATATCGCGACACTTTCGCTGGCGTCGACGACGCGATATCCGGCATGATCCTCAGGCGTCAAAAGGTTAGAAGCGTTGATGGCGACGGTGCGCGAGTGCGGATCGGTTTGTTGACGTTGTCACTTTGACAACGGGAAGAAGACTACAGTATCATTAGCGGCGGGACGTCGTGCGGCACTTGCTGGACTTTGCAGCGCGGTGTTAGTCAGTCAAATACTCATAAAATAGGGCGACGGCTGATAGAGGTGGCACGAGTCGTGGGGCATCGTGTATAACGAAACGACGCGTATACGGGTACGAAAACCAAAAATAAAAAAATTATACAAGAAAATATTGTTGTCGGCCAGTGGTGAGCGGGGTGGGGTGTATGCGTTACGACAGTCTAGTCTCAAGGTCATAGTCGACGGGATACGCGACATAATAACACGTGCCGCGTGGAGTTACAAACTTACAACAAACAAACAACAAACAAGTGAAACTAATATAAGCGTGTTAAAAACCATTGAAGAGGAATACCTGAATCCCCGCACCTTTTTTGAAATAACAAATGAGCTAACGAAAAAACGTAAACCAAGAACCATGATAATGAAAGATAGCAATAACGTACTGATCACAGAAGAAAAAAAGATTGCGGAAGAATTCAGAGAGACGTTTAAACAGTTATTGGGAAAACCAGTGGATAAAACCGAAGAGAGTACAACATACCAAACTACAGAACCTGAGGATAAAATACCAAGTAAAGAAGAAATAGAAGTGGCCATTAAAATGCTTAAGAATAATAAGGCCCCAGGAGAAGACTCGATCATGGTTGAACTTCTGAAGAACGATGGACGAAAACTAACGCAGGAAATATGGGACCTATTAAAAGAAGTATGGAAAACTGAAAGGATTCCACCGGAATGGAACCTATCGATAATATGCCCTATATATAAAAAAGGGGACCCCATGGATGTAAAGAATTATAGGGGAATATCCTTACTTAACACCATATACAAGATTTTATCGAACACTCTACTAAAACGATTAAGACCATACGCCAATAACATCATAGGGGAATATCAGAGTGGATTCATGTCAGGCAGATCAACAATAGACCATATTTTCACGCTTAAACATGTAATAGAAAAATACTATGAGTTCAACAGACCTTTACATTTAATCTTTATAGATTTTAAACAAGCATATGACTCCGTACAAAGAGCAGAAATATGGAAATTCTTAAAGCTGTTAGGAGTCCCATCAAAACTAATATCGATGATAAGAGTGAGTACGGAAGGTTCAATATGCGCAGTCAAATTTGGTCACAAGAAATCAGAAGAATTCCAAACAACAACAGGATTAAAACAAGGTGATGCACTATCACCAATACTATTTAACATAGTACTAGAGATAGCAGTAAGAGAAGTACAAGAAGAATATCAAGGAATTAACTGCGGTCGAACACATTCCATTACTAGCATATGCCGACGACGTGGTAATATTAGGCGAAAGTGAGCAGGATATTCAAAAAGCAATGGAATTACTGATACGAAGTACTAAAAAACGGGGACTCAACATTAACGAGACTAAAACAAAATACATGCGAATAGGAAGGAACAAAGGTCAGATGCGAAATGCAGCTGGATTACAGGTCGGAGGATATATGTTTGAGGAGGTAGATAATTTTAAATATTTAGCTATCATGGAAAGGAAATTCCTTAAGAGGATTTATGGACCAAAAAATTTAATTCTAATAAATTAATAGATTATTCCAAAAGAAAAATCTTCTTCTTCTTTTTCTTCTACCTCGCCTAAATCCTAACTACTTGGGGTCGGCCACCTTTGTTCTAAACTTCCACTTGACACGATCTCCCACATCTACGCTCACATCAGCTGTCCTTAAATCACTTTTAATAGCATCCCTCCATCTCTTTTTGGTCTTCCTCTACCTTTTTTTTCATTAACATTCATTTCTAGAACTATTCTTACAGCTTCCGATTCTTCTCTCCTCATGACATGACCAAACCATCTAAGTCTATTTTCTCTCATCTTATCCACGATTGACGCTACACCTATATTCTCTCTTATATGCTCGTTCTTTATCCTATCTTCTCTAGTCTCTCCATTCATCTATGCTAGACTCTTTCTCTGCTCTACTTTCTCATCAACCGCCCAACACTCTGAACCATACATCATAGCTAGCCTTATTACAGTCTTGTAGAATTTACCTCTCAGCCTCATTGGAATTCCTTTATCGCATAAGACGCCAGACGCTTCTCTCCACTTCAACCACCCGCACTTAATTCTGTGTCTTACATCCTCATCAATACCACCACTCTTTTGCACAACTGACCTTAAATAGTTAAAATTCTCCACCTCTCCAATCACGCCCTCGCCTATTGTTACTGACTTACCTCATGTTCTCCTTTGTCAAACTCGTACTCTATATACTCTGTCTTACTTCTACTTATTTTTAAACAATTTTCTTCAAGATCTGATCTCCACACCTCTAGCCTTTGGTTAAATTTATCCCTATTTTCTCCTATTAATGCTATATCGTTAGCAAACAACATACACTATGGCACCTCTCCTTGTATTTCTCTAGTAATTTCATCCATCACTATAGAGAATAAGTAAGGGTTTAAGCAGAACCTTGGTGCACTCCTACTCTTACCCGAAAACCTTCTGATACTCCTACACTTTTTACCTTGGTACAAGGGTCATCATACATATCTTCTATCATATTAATGTACCTTTTCTCATTAATGCCCACTTTAAAACCTCTCTCGGTACTCTATCATACACTTTCTCCAAATCTATAAATACCATACACAGCTTTTTATTTTATTTTTTGTTCTACATTTTTAAAAGTTTAGTTGAAAAAGTTCTACTTTTTATACAAATTTTCAAGTTTTCAAAAATTCAAAGTCACTTTTCTTAACTTTGAGGAGGTAAAATAATCAAAGTAAGTTTATATTTATATTTATTGCGGAATGAAAGACTAGTAAATTTAATTAGCGAGAGAGAGATATGAGAGGCTGTGGCATCAATGAAAAAGTATAAAGCAGTAGGACCAGATGAAAAACCAATAGAAGTATGAAAAATATTAGGCGGTGTTGGCATAAGGTTGTTAAAGAATCTTTTAAATAAAATCTTATTAGAAGGAAAAATTCCAAATTAATAGAGTAATAGTATTGTGGTGCCTATATTTAAAGGTAAATGAGACATACAAGAGTGTGAAAATTGAATTTGATATGGGGACGGCTGATGTTAGTATAGATGATGTAGAAGATCGTGTCAAGTGAAAGTTTTGGATAAGAGTGACCGAGTAGTTGGAATTAAGGCGAGGAAAAAGTAGAAGAAGAATATTTATATTAAATGTTAGTTGGATTTTTGCAACTTTTATAAAAATTGTTGGACTCATTACTACGGCAAACCCTTATAAAGTATTTTATAATAAACAAAAAATAAAATAAAATTTGAACACAAAAATAGTATATATTTTAACTACAGCAGTCATTGGCATAAAGAAGACAGGTCGTTGGGACAATTTCTTTTTTTTAATTTGTAGTACGTAACATATGTTTAATTTGACATATGTTTTAAAAACGTAGTATTTTCATTTTTAAAATTTAAGTTGAAAAGTTATTATTTTGAATCCCCCCCTTGTGGGGAGGTAAAGGGTTGGATTATCATAAAATTAATATCAAATGAAAAAAAAATACGTAAGATGTTTATATAAAAAAATTATTTTGGTTAGTTCATCTTTCTATAAATTATGATAATTTATTAAATGTAATAATAATTCATTTTGATAAAAACTTTGAAATCGAATTGCCTTTATAAGGAGTATTAACATATGTATCGAGAGAGATATCGCAAAGTAAACATATATTGCCACCCTCTATGAAACTAATCTTGCCATCATTGTTACTATCTACAGCCTTAAAAATCGTAGCAATTCTTTTTATTCGCTGACCAGCAAAATTATCAGTTGCTAATTTCAAAAGCGGTTCGACGTTCAACATTCGTTCGCCTAGAAAATTATTAATGCATGCATTTTAAAAACCAATATATATTTTATGTAATACCTTCAACTTCAGATTCAATCCATTTTTTTGCAAAATTATCATATATACTTCCAAATTTTTTTAAAGCTTTTATAAAATTGTTCAGAGTAATTTGTTGATTAACAATATATCCTCCCATGGCAATCATTAACTCTTCGCGTTTACTCTAAATAAATGATAATATCATAATTAATTTTAAATTTAATGGTTATTTAATTTCAAATGTAGATTTAATAATTTTTTAATTTAATAAAATATCTGATTTGCTTTAGTAATAAGTACTAACACTTGTATCTATAGGAATATCACAGAGTAAACCTATAGTGCGATATTTTAATACATCAATTTTACCATCATTATTACTATTCAGAGCCTTATATACAAACTCTGTTTTTTTAATTGATTGATNTCAGTGCCTTATATACAAACTCTATTTTTATAATTGATTGACTTTCAAAATCATCAGTTGCCAATATCAAAAGCGGTTCGACGTTTAACAATCGTTCACCTAAAAAATAAATATTATATGAATTTTTTTAACACTATATATATATATATTTTTATGTATTACCTTGAAGTTCGGAATCTATCCATTTTTTCCCAAAGTTATCATATTTACTTCCAAATTTTTTTAAAGCTTTTATAAAATTGTTCAGTGTAATTTGTTGATTTACAATATATTCTCCCATTGCAATTAGTAACATATCGTATTCATTCTAAGTAAATGATAATATCATAATTAATTTTAAATTTAATGGTTATTTAATTCAAAATGTAGATTTAATAATATATCTGATTTGCTTTAATAAAAAGTACTAACACTTATATCTATAGGAATATCACAGAGTAAACCTATAGTGCGATATTTTAATACATCAATTTTACCATCATTGTTACTATTCAGTGCCTTATATACAAACTCTGTTTTTTTAATTGATTGATTTTCAAAATCATCAGTTGCCAATATTAAAAGCGGTTCGACGTTTAACATTCGTTCACATAAAAAATAAATAAATGAATTTTTAAAACAATATGCAGAATGATCGATTTATCATAAACCACTCAATTACATCTAAAATAAATATAATATTGCAAAAAAATGTTTTGAATTGTTTAGTCATTTCACGACTGTACTCATCGTCTCACCAAGTATAAAAATAAGAATAATTTCCAAAGTGCCTGTCTAAAAGTTGTTCTAGACCTTAACTATATTATTTACTATTTTATATGATAGTTAAATATGTAAGATGCCATTTAAAAAAAAACCCAGCACAGGGGGGTCGCGGCACAATATTGAAGTGGCATAGTTCGATCAAGTATAATGATATCTGACAATGATTAAAATCACTATCAAAATAAAACGCTTCGTTGCAAATCTTTAGATAGTGTTTAATTTTAAAAAATTGGTGTATTATTCCAAAAGCTACATGATCTGCTAGTTTCTTATTAATATCCTGAATAAGATAAAGTATGTCGAATGAAAAAGGGATTAATAAAAAATATTATTTCTCATAAATAAATTGTGTTGATCCATACACTTTTCAATAAGTTATAGCATATAAAGTTAAAAATATAAAAAATAAAATCGAGAATTTTCACACGAAAATAGCATTTGGTAGCCATTTTCACCACGAAGACAAGTCCAGAGGTCAAATTTTTTTTTTTAAATAAAAGTATATTACATTAACTTTAATTTAAGATATATATAAAAGTGTCAGACTAATTTGCAAGTTTGAAATTGACATCATTAATTAGGAAATTTTATGAGTTTTAATTGTCTATATGGAGATGATGGGATAAGTAACTGTTTAATTAATAAATTAGAATATTTTTTCTAATAAATTAGAATTTTTACCATGAAGACAAATCCAGAGGTCAATTTTTTTCAATTTTTTTTCAAATTAAAGTATATTAAGTTTTAATTTAAGATAAATATAAAAGTGTCAGTATTTCCGGAACACTTTCAACATTTAAGTTGAAAAAGTCAATTTCTTGTAAAAAAGTTGTCATTTTAAATCCCCCCCTGTGGGCAAGTAAAGGGTCACATATAAAAAAAAATATACCAAATGAAAGGTAATAATATCATACATCTATATAAAAAAAATTTATATTGATATGTTCATTTTTGAAAAAGTTACGGTAATTTTTAGTAAAAAAAATTGAAAAAATTTCGAAAATTAGCGATTTTTAAATTTGTAATTTTATTGGAGGTTTCCCCTATTTAAGGGGAACGAGGGAATTTTTTCAATTTTTGAGGGTAATGTCTTCGATTAGATACGATTTGTGATCTTTTGACGTATCATTGAAAGAAATCGGTTCGGTGAGAGCTGAGAAAAAGTGGTAACAGACACAAAAAAAAAAA